ATAGTTGATTTACAATGTTGTGTTAGTTTCTGGTGTACAGCAATGTGATACAGTTGTACATACATTTGCATATTTGAGTCACTTTTGAATTGGTCTCTATTGTTTTTTATCCTGAAAATGGGTCGGGTTTTCCTGTTTGTTTGTGAAGTAATTTTAGATTGTATCCTAGTCATTGCTATGATTATTATGTTGCAGAGACTCTGGATTCTGTTTCATCCTTCTGAAAAATATTGACTTTTGTTTATTTGTTTTAGCATGCAGTTAATTGTTAGGCGCAAACTGCAAACTCTGTCTCTTGGGCTGCAGCTCAAATCTTCAGTTATTTTACCTTTAACTGAGATTTTTGGAGTTTTCCCTGCACAAGTGTGGTTTACAGGTCAGCCATATATTTGAACCAAGTGTGTATGCAGAATTTAGGGCTCCTCCTTTCTGACTTTATTCTTTCCAGGATTCTCCTCTCACTTTCCAGTGGCTTTGGTTACCTTGCACCCTGCCCACTACTTTTTTTTTTTTTTTAACATCTTTACTGGAGTGTAAGTGCTTTACAATGGTGTGTTAGTTTCTGCTTTATAACAAAGTGAATTAGCTATACATATACATATATCCCCATATCTCCTCCCTCTTGCGTCTCCCTCCCTCCCTCCCTACCCCACCCCTCTAGGTGGTCAAGAGCACGGGGCTGATCTCCCTGTGCTATGCAGCTGCTTCCCACTAGCTATCTGTTTTACATTTGGTAGTGTATATATGTCCATGCCACTCTCTCACTTCGTCCCAGCTTACCCGTCCCCCTACCCATGTCCTCAAGTTCATTCTCTACGTCTGTGTCTTTATTCCTTTCCTGCCCCTAGGTTCTTCAGAACCTTTTTTTTTTTTTAGATTCCATATGTATGTGTTAGCATACGGTATTTATTTTTCTCTGACTTACTTCACTCTGTGTAACAGTCTCTAGGTCCATCCACCTCACTACAAATAACTCAATTTTGTTTATTTTTATCTGCCCACTACTTCTTTAGGCCAGAAAGACTGAAGTTTTTTTATTAAGAGTTTTAGTTGGTCTACATGTTGTGGATTAGGCCAAAAGCTGTGTTAAATGGGTAACTCATTTAGTTCCATTCTTTCTTCTAAGTGTTGATTCCTCTCCAGAATCAACCTACTTTTGGTCATTTTCCAGTGCTTTCAAATATTTATTTATAGTTATAGTTGTTCTGTGCAGGAGGATTGGTCTGATAGAAGATTATTCAGCCAGTATTGGAAGTAGAACCAGGATTTCTTAAGCTAAAAATGGTTGGAGAATATGGTGTGGTGATGTACAATCTTAATAGTCATCTTATTTTAAAATATTTAGAAAAGAAGAGAGAAATTATGATGCATGTAACACATACATACACACATAGAGTAACTGAAAGAACTGGTTTTTCTAACTCCAAATTCTGCTTAATAAAACAGTAGATTAGAGTACATTTCCATGTAAGTGTACATAGTTTACCATATGTCAGAAGAAAAATTTTATGGTTAAGATAAATATGTAGGGAAGTAAAGCTTTGGGGTTTATTATGACTGTTTTCAGGGAGGTTAAATTGGCAGCCATGACATTTTAAAACTTGTATAGATTGCTGAAAACTTGGGCTTATTTCCAAGATTGAGTTTTGCTGTGTGTTATACATCTAATGTTTTTAACTTCTTTTTTTTTAATTATTTTTTAAATTTATTTATTTTATTGGTTTTATTTTTGGCTGCCTTGGGTCTCTGTTGCTGCTTGCGAGCCATCTCTAGTTGCAGTGAGAGGGGGCTACTCTTAGTTGCTGTGCGCGGGCTTCTCATTGCATGGCTTCTCTCGTTGCAGAGCACAGGCTCTAGGCTTGTGGGCTTCAGTAGTTGTGGCACGTGGGCTCAGTAGTTGTGGCTCGCGGGCTCTAGAGCGCAGGCTCAGTAGCTGTGGCCATAGGCTTAGTTGCTCTGTGGCACGTGGGATCTTCCTGGACCAGGGCTCGAACCCGTGTCTCCTGCATTGGCTGGCAGATTCTTAACCACTTCGCCACCAGGGAAGCCCTTTAACTTCTGATATGTATTTTATTTTCTTTCAGTTAATGTAGTAAAGAAGATAATTTATAGTGTCAGAATCCTCAAACTGATCAATTTATGATTCACAATTTTTTGTAGATACTTCCCAATAAAATTTTCACTTTCTAGGAAATGTTCCTTTCATATTTACTCTTATTACTCCTTAGGTTCTCTATGATGCAGGAGGCAAAAATCTGTGCTTTGATTTTACTTTAATCTCCGTGCCAGTGGTTTTCTTCCCTGCTCTGTCTTCTTTACTTTATATTTCTTTCTTTTTCTCTATCTTTAAAAAAATATATTTTTCATTACCTTTAATTTTTTAATCCTTATGTGTACTTGGAAAGACAGATTAGGAATATTGGTTACATTATTTGATTTTTTTTTCCTCTTTACTGCTACACGTTATACATTTGCCTAGCCCTTATCCTTTTGTCTTAGGAGTTGTAAAATATTTTAAATATTTTGCTCAATATGTAAGGAATTTGAAGAAGTAAAAGCAAGGACTCTGTATATTCTCATTATATTGGGAAGGTCCTGCTTGTTGAATTTTTAGGTATTTCAGGATGTTCCAGTCAACTGACAAGGACTTCTCCTCACAGTGTCAGAACTGAGTGATGATGAGAGTAATGCAACTAGGAAATAGTTCTGGTATGTAACCACTTTCGCATGTTTACTTCACCAGAAAACTCTGTGGAGGTACAGTGGTATCTTATATTTCTTGTTAAAAATTTGGAAAACTATTTGCATGCTTTCAAAGTAGAATTTGAAGTAACAGTGCTAGTCAAAGAATGGAAAGTATATTCTAAGCAGATGTAAAATTCTACAAAGTTTTAGGATATCTTCATTTCTTAACTGTTCTAAAAAAGGAAAAACAAAACTTAAACTTGCATTCTTAGAACTTTCTGAATAATTCAGTAATTGCCTAAACTCTAGGTTTTAGCGTATTTCTTATTGTAAAGCCTTTATGATACTCTATGCTTTTTTAGTAAAATAACATTTACAAATATGAATCATACTCCTTTTTATATAGCTTATTAATGGAGATTTATTTGCTTTTTCCTTTTTAAAAAATAAATTCTTCAGTTCTTATGTTGTCATAGATTATGAATAAATATTTTAGAAAGTATATATCCAGTTTGTAATGAATTTCCTTGGACACTTCGGTTGTTTATTCTAAATTTTTTTTTTTTTTTTTTTTTAACATCTTTATTGGGGTATAATTGCTTTACAATGGTGTGTTAGTTTCTGCTTTATAACAGAGTGAGTCAGTTATACATATATATATGTTCCCATATCTCTTCCCTCTTTGTCTCCCTCCCTCCCACCCTCCCTATCCCACCCCTCCAGACAGCCACAAAGAACCGAGCCGGTTTCCCTGTGCCATGCGGCTGCTTCCCACTGGCTATCTACCTTACGTTTGTTAGTATATATATGTCCATGTCTCTCTCTCGCCCTAACACACCTCACCCTTCCCCCTCCCCATATCCTCAAGTCTGTTCTCCAGTAGGTCTCTGTCTTTATTCCTGTTTTACCCCTAGGTTCTTCATAACATTTTTTTTTTCTTAAATTCCATATATATGTGTTAGCATACGGTATTTGTCCTTCTCTTTCTGACTTACTTCACTCCGTATGACAGACTCTAGATCTATCCACCTCATTACAAATAGCTCAATTTCGTTTCTTTTTATGGCTGAGTAATATTCCATTGTATATATGTGCCACATCTTCTTTATCCATTCATCCGACGGCGGGCACTTAGGTTGTTTCCATCTCCGGGCTATTGTAAATAGAGCTGCAATGAACATTTTGGTACATGACTCTTTCTGAATTCTGGTTTCCTCAGGGTATATACCTAGTAGTGGGATTGCTGGGTCATATGGTAGTTCTATTTGTAGTTTTTTAAGGAACCTCCATACTGTTCTCCATAGTGGCTGAACCAATTCACATTCCCACCAGCAGTGCAAGAGTGTTCCCTTTTCTCCACACCCTCTCCAGCATTTATTGTTTCTTATACTAAATCTTTAGAGCAGAGCGATCCATGGTTTGGGTTCTTCTGTATAGGTTATCAGTTACTTCTGTTGGATTGAGTGAGGATAAAGAAGGTGGAATTCTCTGCCATTTTACCATAGCTTACTCTTACTTATAAATGGTGCGTTGTTTATTGTTATGAGATTAGGTAGGTAGATTCTTTGTAACAATTGTTAATTTTTAGATTTAATGATGGCACTTGAAGTTACTTACTTTGATATATATACTTGGGAAAACTTTCTGTGTTTATTATGACATATATTATAAGTAATATTGCTATTTGTTGAATGATACTCTCTCTACTCTTTTGGGTCATTTTATTGTGTAGAATATTCTAATTATCCAGTAGTATATGTTTCAAAACTCAAAATATTCAGTATATTATCTAAGGATATTAATTAAGGAACATAACAATCTGGTGAAGTTACTGGTGTAATACATTGCTTTAAAATATTATTTTCCTATTTTTAAAGGACATCTAGGTCTACTTGAGTATTATCAGTGTTTGTTTGGGTATATATTTCTTAAGTCATTTAGGGTTGCCATTTTAAAGAAGGGTAGCTATATTTCTGAAGTTTTTTTTTTTTTTCCACTGTAATTTGCGTGAACAGCCTCATTATATAGATACAAGGACTTACAAAAAACCAAAAAGCAAATGATTTACTCAGGGCTATAGGGTCCATGGTAGGCCTGTAACTAAAGCTCAGTTTTGTTTTCTAGCTTTGTAATTTAATCTATACCAAGTAATATTTCCTGTATGGATAACTTTGGTCCATTAACCTAAAGATAATTTATGAAAAACTCTGCTATTCTCTCACTTTGTAATTCTGCTGGTATTTTCTTCATTGTAATAAAAAAGAAATCATGCTATAGTAACTAATTCTTGACCACACCCTTTCTTTCCCCTTCAGAAAAATTGGAAGCTCTACCACCCACCCCAGGACAGCTGAGATATGGTAATGGTTCTATAATTGTTAAATATTTGTGCATCTGTCTTTTGGACTTGAAATAACTGTGTTACTCATTAATAGTACAGAAATCATTCCAGATAGAGTGGATTATCCTATTTATTATGCTGAAGCAAAAAGTTTGTAAACTTGGTTTAAGACATATTACAGTATTATGGAATTTCTAAGATTGTTAACCATATCTATTATTGTTTAAATATTGTTACCATCTAGAGATAGAATTATAGTAGAGGTTTTCTTAATTCCTAAGAAGAAGGATATGTTTAGTTTGGATTTAAGTTGGGTAATTTCAGAACTAGAATTTCTAGGCTATTTTCTTTGGTGGAGAAAATACTCTGATTTGTTGTTTGTAATAATGAAGAAAGTAAAGTTCATTTTAAACCACGAGGAAGAAGAGCTTTACAGTGCTGCTGGTGTGCTTTCTTTATTACGATTGGAATAACTATTCAAGGGCTAACACCAAAGTAATGTAAAATAGTTTGGGATCTTACTGTAAAGACAGTGGAAGAAGAGAATTATTTAGCGGTACAGTGAATTTGAGTAGGTTGTAAGTTAAAGCTAAATATTAGATGTAATTTGCTAACAACTACTGAGTTAGAGAATAATATTTCCCAAAGGAAACTGAAGAAATTGGTAGGATATCATTACATGCTGGAGAGCAAAGTTATATAATTAAAATTTAGTAGCCAGTTCTTTTTAATAGTTCTTTTTACTCTCAGAGGTAGAATATAATTTGTATTAGAAATAAGTAACTTTTCCGAGATATCAAAACAATTGAAGAATTCTTTAAGACGTTTCTTTCCCAGGTAATCTTTTTTTATTCTTCTAGCCTGGATTCATACAATCAATATCCATAGCACTGTATAATGCTGTTACCATTTTGGGGGGTCATATTGAAATTACCTGCTTATATGGCTGTGTTATCATACCCCAACTTCTTGAGGTCTGGTAACCAAGTATCTTTGTATCTCAAGTGCCCTGTGGAGTGTCCAGTACATGTTTATTTGACTTTCTGAAACTTACAATTTTCCTTTGGAATGAAAATAAATTTTTATTTACAGGACACATTTACTTAGGTCTAAACATCAAAGCATAATATATTTTATAGTTCCAGGTAATTATTATAGCAGTGTAGCAACATGCCTTGGTTTTATGACCAAGTTTTTACTAAGATAGCAATTAGTCTAATCTTAAACTTAGTTTAATAACCTTGACACCTAATTTTAAGATATTTATAACTAGCCAATTTTAGAGATGCCATCAAATTAACCCTAAAATGTTTAGTAATCCCAAAGGTTTCATAGTTACTTTGCCATATTTACATTTCAAAGATGATTGAGATGTCTGGAGAGTCTTCTCTCCAAATATACATTTAAGTAGCTCTCTTTTCACTGTAAATGTTTCATATGGTGAATTTAAAAAATTTCATTATACTCTTTTGACATGTCAAATTTGTAATATGTTTTTGAAATTCTGTATGTGTTTTAGAAGCTGATTATTATAAAATTTTGAATGTCTGGTCATTAAGCAGCTGGATCTAGGCAAAAAGTCAGAACTAAGTTGAGACTCTAATTAAAAAATCCCATTTCATTAATGTGCCACTTGATTTTTATCATCTTTCATAGCTTTTAAAACAATATGCTTGGGCTTCCCTGGTGGCGCAGTGAGAGTCCGCCTGCCGATGCAGGGGACACGGGTTCGTGCCCCGGTCCGGGAGGATCCCACATGCCGCGGAGCGGCTGGGTCCGTAAGCCATGGCCGCTGAGCCTGCGCGTCCGGAGCCTGTGCTCCGCAATGGGAGAGGCCACAGCAGTGAGAGGCCCGCGTACCGCAAAAAAAAAAATATATGCTTAAAAAAACAAAACAATATGCTTTATAATTTAAAATATGCTGCTTTTTACCTGGGACATTCTTATATGATAACGAGAAGAACTCTGAAATGACCTAGGATATATACTATTTTCCCCCTTGATCTTAGCCTTCGACAGTGCTTGTGGGTAGAAATGTTTCTTGTTTTACTGCTTATTAGCCTTCCCTGATTGGTGTAGAGTGGTATCAAATTTTCAAAACTTCTGGATTATATTTTAATTATACTTTTTGTGGACTTAACTGCATTAAAAGAAAAAAGATCTAAAGGCACTGAACACATATATAACCAATTGGTTTAAGGGACTATTTTTTGGATGTGGTATAAAACTAAGAGCCTTGATGTTTATTTTTAAAAAGTCCTCATTTGAATGGATGTTGACTATATCTTGGCAAATTTATAGAATAACTAGAATAAAGTCTTAACTATCCCCAGCTTTTAATTTGTTTCACAGTCTTCCTTCAATTCTCTTAATCTGGAATTCTCTTCCTTTCCAAGTTAGTTGCCCTCAGCTTATTTAACTAATGTTTATTGAGGATCTACTGTGCACTAGGCATTCTGCAATGTGCTGAAGATGTAAATAGGAAAAAAAATGAAGCTAAATATATTTTTTAAATAGGTATTAGTTCTTCCTAGTTACACTTCTGTTTTCTCAGGTCATTCAGATTATGTACTAGATAAATAGGGTGTGATGTGCCTTTGGTAGGAAGAGATCAAGTTACATTTTCATTTAAATCAAATATTGTTTGTTTTAGTTGGTGAAAGCTATCAGGGATACTGATGTGTTGAGGGGGGAAAGAGGACTTTGAACACAGATGTCTAAGACAGATGAGATCATCACATTTTCCTAACATTTGTTTAAAAAATTATTTAGTGAGTATAAGTGACCAGATAGCTTCCCTGATATTTGATTCAGAACACTTTTTATTATTTCTAATATGGAGATCAATTTTATGGTATCAGTCGTTAGGTCTAAGAGAGAAAAAGATTGATGTCAATAGTAATTTAACCGGTAAAACATAGTACTTGTGTATTTATTTGTTCTGTCATTAACTGTATGTAATTTGTACGTGTGTGCGTTGCCAATAAGGAAACACAAAAGCCTAACACAATTAATTTTACATGTTATGTGTTTTTTATTTTGTTTTTTCCCCAGTATATCTTCCACCAAGTATATAAACAGAGGAGAAGCAGAATCTTTTGTCTATGGGGAATGGAAAGCAAATTCCAAAACTTAAATCAAATCTATTTATGAGAGTTTAATCATATAGTCTGTTTTTGTCATTATAAAATTATAGAAATCTTAAAACATATTTTTCTGTTTTTGATGTTTTTCAGTATTCATCCACAATGCGATACCTTTCATAGGGTTTGGCTTTTTGGATAATGCAATTATGATTGTTGCAGTAAGTTCTTTCAACGCTTCTATTTTGAATTAATAAAGAAATTAATGTGGTCTAAATTTTCCTAATAATTTACATATTGTAGCTATAAAGTTTTAATTAATATCATAATGAACAAGGCTATTTTTAACTATATTTCAGGTTAATTAGACTGTAGTTCAATTTTTAAGGCATCATATCTATTAATCATCAAGACTTTTGGTAAAGCATTGGCAATAATAAACACATATTTATTGGGTCTGTATTATTTTGTTCTAGTTTCAACATTCTTACTAAAGTATGTAAAATTTTCTAATGTTCTTTAATTGTATCAGCAGTTCTCATCATGTGTATGTTATTAATTAGCTCCTTGTCCAGTTTTCCTGTACAAAAATGTTTTAAAGGGTGTTTGGATATACAGTCTATCCATTTAACCCAAAGATGATTTAAGTTTCAATTCAGAATACTGTGAATAATAAACCCTTAAGTCTTTGTTCCATTGTAGTGTTAAAAAGTTCTCCTTTGCTGAAGTCATTTTAATTTAAGGTTGTTTCTTACAAGTATTGTTTAGTCTCAGGGATGGCTGATTTATCTTTCTTACTCTTCTGTGACACTTTTTGTCACTAGATACCAATATTGGATCCAGATTATAAAGTCATGATGAAAATGCAGGTCTTCTGAAACTGCCCAGTGCTCTATCCACTTCTCTTCACTGACTCAAACTTTTAAAAAGTTCTATAAATTCTAGGTGTTTTGTAGGAGACTGCTCAAAAAGGAAATGAAATGATTTTAGGATTATTGAATGTGAGGGAAATATATTTGAGAGATGCCAGGGTTTTTTTTGTTGTTGTTGTTTGTTTTTGTTTTTTGTTTCGGTGTTTTGGAGGTCACATGTACTATAGATGGATATAAATAGAATATTTGGTTTCAAAATAGGGATAAAAGTATAATTTACATTGTATGGATTATAAAATTTGCTTAAAGAATATCTAAAATTGGTTCATTCAAGAATGGTTTTCTTTGGTATGTAGTCTCACCTTATGTCCAGATTGATAAGGTGGGATCAGATATCCACAAAGTCTAGACATTCACTTGGCTGAGGAAACACAGGGTTCACACATCAGGAAGGTATATTGCTCCTTAAGCAGTCACAGAAGATACTGTAGCATGCACATAATTTGAAGGTGATAAACACCCATTGGATACGTAATTCTTCAGCAAAGTAGTCTGGTAAGAGCCTCTAAAATACAATTTCAAAATGCTAGTTTTTTTGACTGATTATGACATTTTCCTATTATGTATATAGGAATCAAGTTGGCTATTTTATATATCTGTGAATATGAGAAACTTATTCAACCATACCACACTACCTTTTCTGAAATGACTAAAACCTTGAGTTGGTTAGATTATTTAAATAGTTAATGTAAATAAAATCTAACTGTAATGAAAACCCCACTATGATGAATTTAGAAGCTATAGTTTAAGATCCGATGTGTTCTTGAATACAGTTTTACACTCAATATTTTAGATTCTCTTTATTGACAGCTGGTACCTCTCATTCTACCATCTTAATAATCATTTGTTTTTTTCATCTCAGTTGGGCAGACCTTAGATATTTAAATGATGAAAGACTGTCCTTGCTACAGGGAAGTGTTGAGATGATATATTTTGTATAAAGAGGAGTGCAGGGAGATTTTGAAGAGATATCAGAATAGGGAAACTGGGTAGTTTCTTAGATCCTGAATAAGACCTTCACAGTATGGTCTTATTATTTCTTTGAAATAAATATCTAAAGTAACAGATATCTGTGTTTAAATACAGATACCAACAAGACAAAACAAACAGAACAACCACATTCTAAAGTCAAATTATTGTAATGTTCCTATTTCGTATTACTCAGGCCTGTGTCTCATTATTAGTGTAACTGAGAGTGGACTATTTTTCCAGGCCTGAGATGGTTGACTCTAATTCAGTAATATTTGTTTTTCTGGTTTACATTGAAATCCAGTTTCAGGAACGTATCACCCGTTTTTTATTTATATAGTACTGAAATAAATAATTAAACTACTGGCTTAAACCTGATTAAGAGTAACAGGTATGGCAAAAATATTATCCTGCGATAATTGCAAAATAATTCAAGAACAGTTAAATTTTCCAAAGAGGCTTTTTAATAGACTGCTAAGACTAAAATCCATAAATAATATAACGGTAGGATCTATGAAAAAGGAAATAAGTGAACATTATTATCTTAAGAATGTTTTTCACCTTTTTTTAAAACAAAACAAAACAAAAAACACTGATTGCCTCCAAATATTGTAGGATAGCTATGACTGAAGATAGTAAGTCAAGAAGATATTTTATTCTTCTTTTCTATCATGCCATTTGATGTTTTTCCTTTTAGGTATACTCTCTTAACTGCTACCTAGTTGTAGTCATGTAAACAGATTCCTATATAACTTCTCATAGTAGGTTTGACCTTTATTCTTGGCTGCTGTTCATACTAAGCTTTTGATTTCATAGTTTTTTATTATATTATTGGAATTGCTTTTTATAACTTATATTTTAGTGGGTTTTGGGGGGATTATTTTTCTTACAATTTAATTAGGATAGAATTGATTAAAATTCTAGCATAGATTAATCATATTAAGGTGATGAACCAAGTATAACTTTAAGACAACTAGTATTAGGTTTATTTATAATTTCTACCTCACCTGTTAACATGAAATTTGATGTAACTGTGGGAAAAAGGAAGGGAGTGGATAGTCCATTGCCTTCAAACCGACCTTGACTTTATGTGAGGCTTTTCATGCTGTTTGAAGGATCTTCACGTTTCTTAAATTCAACCAAATGATTAAGCAAGCACTTAAATGCTTTATAAATACATGTATTGGCAAACAGATTTTTTGGGGGTCATTTCTAATGATTCCTTGCTGTTAAAGATCCTGTATTTATTTTTGTATACACTATAGCTGTCAAGTGCTTCTCTTCTATAGTAATGCTCCTTGCTTTTGGGGTTCCATGTATAAAGATACTTCTTCATGCCTGTTTTCTTCTTCAGAAATCTGTTTCTTTGGGTATCTTTACAACCTTGTAACTTTAAGTGCCTGGGAGACTTTTGTACATCACGCTGTTTGGTCCATACTCTACAAGAATTATATTTTAAAGGAGTGGAATCAACAGGCCTAGGGGAAAGAAAATTGAGGAAATTAAACTTAGCTTCTCTTCAAATAATTGAGCAATACAATATTTCTATATTACCAGATAGGACATTCTTTTTTTTCTTTTCTCCACAAATATCGTTGAGATTTGTAGGGCATTCTTTTTTTTTTTCCATAAGTATTATTGAGATTTTTTTTTTAATTTTAGAAATTTTCAAGCATCAGTATTCAAGAGAGCTTTTGAAAGTTAAGTCCACTTATGGCAGAATTGTGTAAGGATTAGAACTGAATTAGCACTATAGATTGTAGGATTTCTTCTTTATTCTATGTAATAATCCATTAGAATGTTTTAATCTTCTTCACTTCAGTTCCTTCTCTTTAAAGTAGAAGGAAAAATACGAGCCCCTCTTTTCTTTAGAGAAATGAGATAGACATAGAAAATCTTAAACTCTCAATAAATTCAGTGGAAATGCAGTGGAACCTCATTTTTGCTGTAGCTCTATTGTATTAAATGCTATTGTTGCTTATAAATGAATCAGTCTCTTTACTTAACGGTTAAAGAACTAAGTGTTTTAAGGATAATTTTTGAAGTCTGATTTTTTTGGGTCCCTAGAAACTGGTTTTGTCTGTCTTTTAAATCTTTTATAGGGTAAATATCAATAGTATAGTTGTATCATTCAGAATTTAAAATGTAGGTGAGTTGGTTGTCTTTGTGTTCAAAAGCATTAAAACAACTTTCTGTGGTAAGAAAATATAAATTCTAGATTATTAATGATGAATTATATTGCTATATGTGTTGCTATTTTTTATTTTTATGAAAGCCTAATTTTAATAAATAAAATATTGATGTTATTTCTGCATGAATGCATATATTGGGTTGGCCAAAAAGTTCGTTTGGGTTTTCCCATAACCTCTTATGGAAAAATCTGAATGAACTTTTTGGTCAACCCAGTATTTAATAATTAAGTGAATTGCTGTAGTATATGTGTATATTTATGCATATTTTATATATACAATTTTGCTGTGATAACATATTGATTATTTTGCCTCTTTTTATTAATGTTTTGCTATTCTTTGATAGTCACTTCAGTTTTAATTTTTAAGATTAATTTCTTTGTAATCATTTTTCAGGGAACCCATATTGAGTTATCTATTGGAATTATTTTGGGAATTTCAACTATGGCAGGTATTTAATAATAGTAATGTTATTATTCCATTGTATATTTATGAAACATTTTAGTAGGTTAGGTTTAGAAGAGGATACTTTATTTGAATGAGTTTATTTACTGAGATGTCTCTTAGTTTATCTACGTAATCCTATTCCTCTAATTTTTAATTTCATATATGTAACATATTTTTCTGAGAAAGTTTAGGTACTTTAAGTTAGTTAATGGGTAACAATAATCTACTAGATTGACTATATTAAAAATTTTTTTCTCTTAATTCAGTGTTACCCTAAAACCTTCTTACTCTTTTTCTCTATCAAATTACTTATTTTCAAGTTGGGCAGAAAAGTCAAGGAAGGAAATACAAGATTGAAAATCTAATTTGGTTCTGTCTCCTTCTTTCCCCCCAAATACCACTGTACTCTTCTTGATGGTGACATTTGGGAATGATTCTGTGTTGTTTTATTCTATGGAACACGTGAAGTAGATGAGTTAATGAAAGAGACATTTCCTCTCCTTGATTTTCTTGAATGTCATAGCTGTACATATAGCTTTACTCTTTAACTTTCAAGTATTCAAATTCCCTTAAATATTATCTGAAAGTTAAACTACAAAATATTGTACAGGTGTTTTAATACTGAAACCAAAATGGAAACTGGCTGCCACATTAGAAAAAACCTACTACTCGATGGAGGTAGAATACCCTAATCTCAGAAATATTGTGTTCTATTTTGGAGATCTCAAGATTCAGAGCTGTCAAATGAACTACTTTGGATATTGTCATTGTAGTTTAGAAATGTGATAACTCTTCCAGACCAGTGCTTTATTGATTTTTCTGACTTCTATGTAATAATTCACTTGTCCATTTTTCATTTTTTTAGCTGCTGCTTTGGGAAACCTTGTGTCAGATTTAGCTGGTCTTGGGTAAGTTCATTCATTTATTCATTTGTGCATGTGTGTACTTGTTCTCTTTCTCTTCTCCATTCTCCTTTAATTGAGAAGGATTTTAAAAAGGGACATTTATTTTTGCATGTGTGTTTTATAACTAAATTTTTAACTTTAATGTTTCTAAGTCAATAGCACTAAATCTTTAAATCTTTGGTGTGCATCAAATATAGATGTCTCGCTCACATCCCAGTCATGCAGAATTAGTGTCTCTGGGGATGGGACTCTGACATTTGTGTTTAATAATCTTCTCAAGCAATTGTGATATGTGCAAAATTTTTTCTAAAACTACCATAAGGTAAGTTGAATTTTCATTTACTGAAGTGTTTATATGTATTTTATAAACATTTCCAAGGGTGAGACAGGACTAAAAGTAAGAACCCTTATCATTATTTCACCCCCACCCTCCTCCCACTAAACCCAAAGATAAGAAATATGGCTCAAATGTGAGGATACTGACTGGCATGTTTTCTAGACAGAGGAATTTTCAGAGAATAATGGCCAAAACATACAGGGACTCGGCTAGTTTTTGCTCTTTTTATTCCATGTGGTAGGAATGATGAAACAAACTGAGGATGCCTACTTGGAAAAGGCCAGCTTTCTCTCTTTCTGTTTTTACATTCTCTCTTCTAAGTGGCAGATGGCCTGGGCTGCTTCCTGAGCTTGGGGAAGCCTGGGAAGTATAAATTAGGCTAAGTTGGCATTAATTTTTGTGATAAACATATTTTCTCTTGCTCAGTCTTTGGTTCTGTTTCTTCCTTTTTTGGTTCATTAGAATGGTAAGTTTTGAGATTTGGATCTGGGTCTAGTAGAGGTCTACTTAGCCCTATAATCTGGAGAAAAGCAGCTTTATATATGACCTAACTCTATGTATTAGACTTCTGCACTGGAGTTTGGGGCCAAAGCTAATGTTAAAAACACAGTTTCTTTGTTCTGGGCCGAAGCAAAAATTTTATATTCCTGGAATTCCTGACATAAACCTATAATGATATTACCCCTTAAACATTCCATTTCCCAGTTTCCAACATTAAGGTTAATAATGATAATACTATATAGCTACTGTGATAGCTTTCTATATTTAATAGAATCAAATGATCTAATAGATCTCTAAGGCCATTTGGTTTTAGATTGTATCATCAAACAATTATTTTTTTATTAGAGATAAAGATTTGTTGGGAGTCTTATATTTAAGAACCACTCCTCTGCCTTTTAAAAATAGCATTAGGTAACAAATACCACATTTTATCAATCTTAGTTGCACAGGTTTTTAGAACTTAACATATCTGACATTGGGATCCATCTTATAATTGATGGTATGCATAGTTTAATTGGCAATTTTTTTTCTTTCTTACAGTTCTTAAAGTAAGATTGTATCCAATAAGCAATGGCAACTTAGAATTGATAAATACTTGAAATTGCCCTGAAAATCGTAGGCTGTTTTTCTTAGTATATCAATCTGATAAATTTTGGAAATTTTTGTTTTCTGATGATAGTTATTAACTTACATGTTAAAGTGCTTTGCTTTGAATTTGGAATAAATGCATAAATTATAAGTGTTGTAAAAATTTTTATATACCTTGAATTGTTCTTTTTAAGGTAATGGTAGAGAATAATTACTCTAAGTTAATTAATTTACCTGTGTATTAAATATGTCAGTCTGAAAAAATGAAGATGAAAGTTGTAAAAGAATGTTTATACCATTTCTAGAGTGCCAATTACAGGTATAGAATTATCTTATCTTTGTAGTAATTAGTTTTTCCTATGTGAGGACATTGTGTTTCTCTTTAAAAACTTATATTCTGTCCTCTTGTATTTTTAAAGACTTGCAGGCTACGTTGAAGCTTTGGCTTCCAGGTTAGGCCTATCAATTCCTGATCTCACACCAAAGCAAGTTGACATGTGGCAAACACGTGTTAGTACACATTTGGTGAGTACTTTATATGGCTTATGACGGTGAATTTGGGTAGCCAGAGCAAGACACTGTATTCAGTCCCTTGAAAAATTTGAGACTAAAATTGATTTGAGTGGAATTTTTAACAAAAACTGTCCAAGCCTTGGCAGGTTCAGAAAAGCAGTAATTTTTTATTGACTATTTTTGTAGGTATACTTGATTTTTGAAAAATTCTTTATATGATTCAGTTACTGTTGAGGAGTATCAGTTATGTGCTGAGACTGAAGGACATAAAGTGAGTAATAGACTATAGTTCTTTTCAAGGATTGTGTAGGTAAGGAACCAGACATGTTAAGTAAATTATAATTTAGTGTGACATATTCAGTAATAGAATTATGCACCACATATAGCAGAAGCACCAGGAAAAGAATTAACTCTTTGTGAAGAGAAATTTCTTTTGGTGTGGAGATTTCTTGGTGAGTATTAGATCTAAGCTTATTTTGAAATTATTGATGAGACATTTGCTAGGTGAATGAGAGAATTCCAAGTATATTGACTAGCAAGTAGAAAAGCATGATAACTAACTGGAAGTTCCTAGCAGAGAGAGACAGACTGCATCTGCTCGGACCCTGTCTGTTTCCCTGGTACCTAGCATAGAGTTTGGTATTTTGTAGATTCTCAGTAAATGTCTGTATGAAGACATAAAACTTAATTCAAAAGTGTATAACCTTAATAGTCATCATAGGAATGCATCATTTAAAAATCATTTATAAAAATTTAAAAAAAATTTTTTAATGTAGGTGAGATCGCAGAAAAATTGTGTGTATGTATACATATAAATATATTGCAGTGGGTATACAGATATTTGCAGTTTTGTCTAGAATAGGTAGCATGGCAGTATCCTATGGTTATGCACAAATATTCATATTATTTGATTTTTAAATCATTGAGGAAGAACTATACACAGAAATGTTTATTGTTCTGTCATTTGCAATGGTGAAAAAGTAGCAATGATTTTTAATGGTAAGGAGAGCTTGAATTCCCTGGTGGTCCGGTGGTTAGGACTCAGTGCTTCCATTGCATGGGGCCCGGGTTCAATCTCTGCTCAGGGAACAAGGATCCCACAAGCCACGCGGTGTGGCCGGGAAAAAAAAAAAAAAGAGCTTTACATAGATTATAGGCCCATCAATTCAGTGGAATTTAGAAGTTTTTTTATTAAGTTTATGAAACAGTTTGGAAAGGAGTTTATTATAACATGTGTGACTGTGGGGGGAAGGAATAAGGCAGAAAACAAAGCTATGTTTACATAATGATTAGACCTACATATAATTAGGTGTACATGGGGATAAATATTGAAAAGGAATATATACAAAGGGTAGCAAATCCAAATATATTGAGAATACTTGGTGAGATATTTCCTTTCTTCCTATCTCTGACATTTTTAAAAAGTGTTTTTCTACTTGAATACTTCTCTAATGTTAATTTATTTTTTTAAATAAATTTATTTATTTATTTTTGGCTGCATTGGGTCTTCATTGCTATGCGTGGGCTTTCTCTAGTTGCAGTGAGCGGGGACTACTCTTTGTTGCAGTGCGCGGCCTTCTCATTGCAGTGGCTTCTCTTGTTGCGGAGCACGGGCTCTATGTGCACGGGCTTCAGTAGTTGTGGCACGCGGGCTCAGTAGTTGGCGCACGGGCTTAGTTGCTCCGCAGCATGTGGGATCTTCTCGGACCAGGGCTTGAACCTGTGTCCCTTGCATTGGCAGGTGGATTCTTAACCACTGCGCCACCAGGGAAGCCCCTCTAATGTTATTTTTATGGCAATTTGAAAAAAATTTTTTTTTCCTTGTTGCTTTGTACTTTACATATTATTTGTTCTAGAACCTTTTGTACATTATTATTATATTTAAGTTACTATGATCAAAAGAAATACAGTTGAATTTTATAGTACATAGTAATTTTTAATTTTTATCAGATACTTAAGCAAGGATTCCTCTTACAGGGGTAAATTAACTGTCAAAAAATCTTTTCTTTTGTTTCCATAGGGCAAAGCTGTTGGGGTGACTATTGGCTGCATTCTAGGAATGTTTCCTTTGATTTTCTTTGGAGGAGGTGAAGATGATGAAAAACTGGAAAAGAAGAATTAACTCTCTTAGGATACCTGTAAAAAGATGTAAACTAATGTACCTCAATTATTAAATATGCTGTCACAACATTTAGGAATTAAGACAGTAACAGTGCATAGATACGGGATCAACTAATTCAGCATGTATTATGGAAAACACTAACTTATTGTGGCTTGGTTTTCTTGGGACATCTTTTTAAAAAAACGTTTGTGTAAATTGTTGAAATGCTTTTTCATCAATGGCAGTCAACATTTTACCTTTTCTTTTTCTTTCTTTATATACCAAAATATCATTTAAATATCAGTCATTGATGTGCTCTGCTGACTTGGGGTTTGCCTATTTGTTACTTACCATGTGTACATGCATGAAAGCATTTTCTGTTGTTGTTCCCTTATAGTTACAATTCAACCTTAAGATTTTTTCCAAATTACTTAAGATGTTTAACATCAGTTAAAGATTTTTTTTACTCTTTGGCAACATCAATTTTGTACCGTTTCACAGTAAACATTTACAATTATAATTTCAGTCATTTAAAAAAAACTCTCACATCTATTCAAAATGGACAGAGACTTTAAGTATTTTAAGTACCTATCACTCATTTTAATTTTCAGACCTTATTGTCTCAAGAGCCGGAAATTAATCAGGATGAACAATTATGTGGTCTCCCTACTACATAAAACCATATATGTTAACAAGTGTATTATTTTGAATTGGTTTTTTTACCAATTTAATTTCTCAGTTTTGAATAATTACATAGTGATTTCTGACTCCTAAGGGAAAGTCATTATTTTAGAGTATTTTGGGTTTTTTTTGTTTTTGGGGTTTTTTTTTGCGGTACGCAGGCCTCTCACTGTTGTGGCCTCTCCCGTTGCGGAGCACGGGCTCTGGACGCGCAGGCTCAGCGGCCATGGCTCACGGGCCCAGCCGCTCCGCGGCATGTGGGATCTTCCCGGACCGGGGCAAGAACCCGTGTTCCCCTCATCGGCAGGCAGACTCCCAACCACTGCGCCACCAGGGAAGCCCATTTTAGAATATTTTTAATTGGGATTGTGGAATTAAGATGTGAACTAAGGCGTTTGACATGACACTTGGAAAATTAGGCTAAAAAAATTTTTTTTCACAGAAGTATAAAATGGAAACTGTCAAGAAGGTTTATGGTATGAGTGGTGAAGTTGAGGTGATATTTGTAAGGTTAATAAAATACAAATAATACTGTTTGGGAAGGCTTTTCCCCACAAATGTCTTCTCACCTAAATTGAATAAGTTTGAGTACTCATAATTTTGACATTGTTATATCTTCTTTAGCGGATTTTATTTCTGGATAACTTCTTTTGAGGTGAAAAATAAATATTTTATATTTTGCTTTTTGCTATATATAGCCTAGTGGTCAAAAGACATATGAGGAGAAATTCTTTCTCCCTTTTTTGGTCCCTTTTCTTTTTTTGTGGTGTTTAAATCATATTTTAGATTGAAGTTACTTATGTCCAGTCTTGTGTATGTGATTTAGGCATAGATAGGATTCATATCTATACTTGTGAATCATAAATTTTAATTTTATGAACCATTAAAGTTTGTTAGCATGTGGTCTGTTACACAGGCTAAAAAATTACTCTTAATTGTAAGAGTTGTTGAACACATCTTGGAGGAGAAAAACAGAAATTAAAGTTACTATTTGGGCCCCTGAAATTATTTATTTTGCTAAATAGATGCAAAAGAAGGGAAACTTAAAGATGGCTCTATTTACAGCTACCTTATTTTCTAAGTTTTATTTGCACATATTTACTTTGAGGTTTTATTTTCGGAGGAGCTGTTTTTTCTCACAAGGCAATTTGTCATAAATTCTCTTCTTGTACTTCAAAATGATTTTAGTGGTATCCTTTAATCATAGATTTTTGAGGGAAAAAATAAATCATAGAATATAAAAATAAATATATAACATTCTTATTATGTACAAATACTATAACAGTCTCATTTGATCAAATTAGAATTATAAAACTTAACATTTTACATAAAACTGTGGTTTGTATCTTCCACATAATACCACAGACACACCAAAATTTTTTTTTATTATTTCAGATGATAGGATTAGAGTGATTATTTAAAAAAAAAAAATTTTTTTTTTTTTGGTAAATGTTTAAGTGTTTTTGTCCCTAACTGTATTGCCAGTCCTTTCTATTCTCTAAAAACATATTTTATTGTGGTGCTTAAATTTTCTTTTTATTAATTAAATCCCATATTCAGAAACTTTGCCTGTGAGTTTAGAAAGGGCTTTTGATTAGTGCTTTCATTTTTTTTGCTCGTGAAGATAACCCAGTCCTACAGAATCTTTTTAGCTGAGCGTCTGTAGAATTATTTAAAATGTCAAAATATGGAATATATAACCTTCATATTGAAAAGTATTTTAATTTATGGACACAATAAAAATTTGCATCATTCAGGTAATTAGTTAAAAAAAAAATGGAGCCCTTTTGTCCTTAACCTAAGGTACACATTTTTTTCAAGATCTTATTCTATATACTAGTATGGTGCTTTGCACAAAGTGACTTCTGAAAACTGGTTCCCTTTAAGATAATGACTTCATATAATCATTGTTTCATATTACTTGTCACGAGGAATTTTATTTCAGATTGAAACTGGAATTCTTATTTCTCATATTAGCTATTTCTTTTTTGGGAGCAACTATAACTATGGTTAAATGCAACATGAGCTGTGTCAGTACTCTCCTTTTGAAATTCATGTTGTCTGTGTATTATGATTTATTGACTTGTTTATGCATGTAAATTAGGTGCATTTTGTTGGCACTGTATGTTAAATGGTGACCAATGTTTTTACAAAGGAATTGAACAAAGAAAAACACCTTTTAAGAAATTTTGGAATGTGGTTTTGATTTTGAATTTCTTCCTAATCTCAGAAAACCCTGGTTATTCTGTAGCTTAAAAGAAACAGGATTAATAAATGCAGATTTGTTACAGGGTTGTAGCAATGACACTGAGACAGTAAAATGGAACTATTTACCGTTTCCCTGAAGTCCACACTTGAGATACAACATTACACATTATGAGAGAAGGACGATTCCCATATTGAGACAATTTGATCTTTAATAGGATGTCAAAAAAGCTTTAGATAGAGAGATTGGCGAAAATTACACTGATGGGTATTTATTTACAGCAGAGATATCCAAGCCTCCTATATAATAACACCTCATTTACTTTACTCTGTTTTTCCAGAAGATGAATTTTGAAGGTAATGAAAGTTTATCTTTTACACCAAAAGTTCAGGTAAACCATTTTGAAGTAAATCTTCCTCATTTTAGAATTATATTTTCTTGCCATCTTATGAGTGTATTAAATGTAATATAATGTAATCTTTTTCTTAGTGGCTAAGTGTCATCTTTATGGACATTGTTATTGTGCTGTAATGCAGTACCTTGGGAATCTGGTTTTTATAGTTTTTCATTTTCCTCCCATTTTTTTGCTGCTGTCACTTCTGGCAATTGCTCTCTCTCTCTTTAATTTTCTGCTTCTTTAATTTGCTGCTTCTTAGAAGCTAGATAGTCAGTCTTACCATAAATTTGGGAAATATTAGAAAACAATCTGTGGAGCCTGAGTGAGATGATGATGTTGTCAATGGTGATGATGATGGTAAATATAATGTTAGCTCCCTTTTATTAAGTACTTATTTGTTGCTATGTACTGTAGTAGTTTACATACATAATCACATTTAATCACTGTAATAACAATGTTAAGTTGGTGCTGTTATCATCCCTATTTCGTATCGGGTGAATTGAGACATGGAAAGGTTAGTTTGCCCAGGGTGTCACTATTCATAAATGGACTAGAGTCTGGTTTTGTCCAAGTGTGAAGTCTGTGTTCTGAACTACTTACTATGCAGTTGGGACATCAGTTGCATGGACTCTGTAATGTCTGTTCTCTGTTCAGGTTCCTTTCTGCCTCTATACTTATGGAGTTATTTTCTCACTTACAACTTAAGGGAATTGTACTCAAAATCTCCAAGTCCATTTAACAAATCCTGTTTATGGTTGCATATTATGTACTAGGAACTGTTCAAGGCTCTGAATGAACAACCAGAACATCCGTATTCTCGTGAAGGTTATTCTGTGGGGGGGCATGAGTTGGGGAGGAGAATATAGGAAAGCAAATGTACCCTTAAATAGTGGTGATAAGTTCTGCAGAGATAAATGAAACAAGGGGGTTAGAAAGTACCGGTGGTCATACGTGGGGGCTTATTTTTATACAGCGTGGTCAGGGAAGACCTGAAAGAAGTGAGAACATACACAACACAGATATCTGGGAAGAGAAGGTATCACGCTACATTCTAGGAAGTTGGTGTTAAGAAAATCCCCACCATATGAAATATATTTCAGTTTGGAATGCATTGTAAGATTTTTTTTTTTTTTACTGAAGTATAGTTGATTTACAATGTTGTGTTAGTTTCAGGTGTACAGCACAGTGATTCAGTTTTATATATATATATACTTTTTCAGATTCTTTTCCCTTATAGCTTATTACAAAATATTGAGTATAGTTCTCTGTGCTATACAGTAGGTCCTTGTTGGTTATCTATTTTATATATAGTAGTGTGTTTATGTTAATCCCAAACTCCTAATTTACCCCTCCCTGCCTCCTTTCCACTTTGGCAACCATAAGTTTGTTTTCTATGTCTTATGGGTCTGTTTGTTTTGTATATAAGTTCATCTGCATCTTTTTTTTTATATTCCACATATAAGCCATATCATATGATATTTGTCTGGCTTACTTCACTTAGTATGATAATCTGTAGGTGCATCCATATTGCTGCAAATGGCATTATTTCCTTCTTTTTTATGGCTGAGTAGTGATCCATTGTAGAAATATACCACATCTTCTTTATTCATTCATCTGTTGATAGACAATTGGTTGTTTCCATGTCCTGGCTATTGTAAATAGTGCTGCAATGAACATTGGGGTGCATGTATCTTTTCGAATTATGGTTCTCTCCAGATATATGCCCAAGAGTGGGATTGCATGTAAGAAGTTTTCTTGTTTGTTTTGATTATTCATGTTTTCTGAATTAAGCCTAAATATTAATATTTAAATATTAAGATTAATACCCCTGCATATTTACTTACAGTAGTAAACAGAAATGACTCAGAAGCATGGGGAAGCTATCCTAGAATTCATAAAGTCAGTGAATAACCAACCTATCAGCAAATAATTTAGAGTTTTGTTGTGTGCTCATAATGAAACCTTACTAACAGATCACTTGTTTTTACCAAAGTAATGAATGTTATTGACATATGGGTTGTAACACTGAAATTAGTTTCTCTCCTCTAACATTTAGAAATGAAGTAGTAATTAAAGCAGGAACTTGTAACATTTTAATTTTGAAGCTTCAGAACCTTCAGGATCTATTGATCTTATACTGACAGCCTATGAAGCACATGGTGTTTTGTATTGGTATTTATATGAAATTTTATAATGTCATACATAGGTTAATGCTATTGATAAGTTTATGAATGG